AAACATTGGTCATATGCCCAGGAAAGTGTTCGTGACTGTCAAGTGTTGAGGGAGAACTTGATTCTTCTTCAGATAACCGCGTCCTTCGAGCTTACAGGACCGAGCAACAACAGCCGTGCCGTTACATGACAACCACGACAAAGGCAACAGACACAGACTAAATTGTAATTACTAATTCATGATAGGCTTGTATCGGAATGGTTGTTCACGAAAGAAAGAAGAGATTCCATTGCTGTGTCAATTTATGCTAAATAGCAACCTGCATGCCTCGTTCTGCCCACACAAGGAATTCGAAAAGGCCAAAATTATTTCTTGAAATCTCCCTTGGATAACTCCTCCTCCAGGTCATAGTACACCTGGAACTCGCAGTAGCAACTCTCTGGGTCGCTCTCTACATCGAAGTTGAAGTCGGCTTCTTCATCCGTAATCAGAACCTTCGGTAGGCCATTTGCCGCTGCTGCTTCTGCTAAAAGTTGGACCTGGCAAGACCTCTCCATAGATGTGAATAGAAAAGCGGCTTCGTCAACCGTCTGCCCTACTGTCAGGATGCCATGATTTCTCAAAATGCACCCTTTTCCATTCGGCCCTAGAGCAGCCGCGATACGATCGCCCTCTTCGCTACCCAGTACAACCCCGCCGTAGCTGTTGTAAACGCTGTGTGCGTCCCGGCGGAACTTACAAGCGTCCTGGGTCAGCATTTCGAGTCGTCTGCCAAAAACGGACCAAGCTTTTCCATGGGCACTGTGAGAATGGCAGACAGCATGGGCGTCCGGCCGGGCCTTATGCACTGAGGCGTGAATGAGGAAGCCGGCTGTATTCGGCGGTGCTCGACTACCTCCAAGGACAGCCCCGTCGAGACCAACAAGAATCATATCGCTGACCTTCAGGAGACCGAAGTGTCGGCCCAACGGGTTGGTCCAAAAAGCGTTGGGAAATTCTGGATCACGAACGGAGATATGACCACTCATGCCCTCAATGTAGCCTTCTCGGTACCAGTGCCTGAAGGCAGCTGCCATGTGCTCAAGCTGCCACTGCCGATGCGACTGGAAATTAGGGTGTCGTGGGATTCCAGCAAGAACCACGTCTCCGTGGGACATGGCTTGAAGAGGAGTTTTGTTCTTGAGTTCGTGCCCATGTTTGGTGTGCGAATCCTCTTTTGGCTTGATGCTGGGGATATGCATCGTCGTAGAAGTGACAGTGGTTGAGCTCATTGTTGCGGAATGGCGAGAAAAGTAACTGGAGAAGTTGTTTTTGGATCGGTCGAAAAGACGAAATGTGTCTGTCAGCTCCGGGATGATTTAGCCACCTTGCTTAGACATTCCACACGTTGTCTTGGTTCAGATTCCATTTAAATGATCTTTGACCTCCCAGAAGTGTAAGTGGCATAGCACGTCTCACGTCCAAAATCGCTCAAACAAGCAAGCTTCCCCGGAAAGGGAGAGCGCTCGGATAGTTCGACCAGGTTTCCATTAGTCTCTCTCCTATGCCACTTGCGTCACATACCACGTCAGATCCTCCCACAGGCCCTCTGATTGGGAAGCTTTTCAAGCAGGACATCGCGAGAAGAACGTTGAGATAGTAGATTGAAGAGTGTGGGTACACGTAAACAAATCAGAATCGTGCCCATTAAGCCTTCTCGAAGTTAGATCTCTACCAGAAAGCTGGGCAAGGGTCTGCCATTCTCGATGAAAACAGTACAGCCACTGCATAGTACTAGGTATTTTCCATCACACTTAAATCAGGTAAACGTTGGAGTATTGGGGAATTGCTTTCATTCTAGGTAACCAGGCCAAATACGGGTGTACAATACCGTGCTAGTCACTTGCGCAGAGGAATGAACCCTGCATTGCTCTGACAAGCAAACCCTTCGACTGATTCCACATAAGACTGGCATTTTACTCAGCACTCAGCCACAAGATGAGGCATTCATTAGAACTTATGAACTTATCTATCTGAAAACGTACGTAAATGACCATAAGTTTTGGAAAAGAAAGTGGATGTCTACATCAATGGTTTCTTACCAGATTCACGAGGAATGACTCGAAACTGTTTGAAACCGACTGCTTGTAGATGATAATGATTTATGCGAAAGACTAACAAGCTTTACTATGTAGGTGTATGGCAGCGATCAGAGCTTGTTTCCCATATTCACATGAACAGCCTTGATGTTCGTGTATGCTTCCAATCCGGCCTCCCCCAATTCCCTGCCAATACCGCTCTGCTTAACACCTCCAAATGGTACCCTAGGGTCACAGTCCTGACTACTATTGATCCAAACCATACCAGCTTCGATTTCCTGGGCAACGCGGTGGGCTCGCTCGAGGTCGGTCGTAAATGCAGCAGCGCCGAGACCGTATATAGTGTCGTTAGCCAAAGCAATAGCCTCTTCTTCTGTTTTAAAACGAAGAACAACCACAACCAGGCCAAAGATTTCCTCCCGAAAGATGCGCATGGAAGGCTTCACATCGGTGAACACTGTGGGTGCCACCCAGAAGCCCTTTCCGCTCTTATCGCCGGCGACGGTGGTGGGCTCCCCGCCAGTAGCAACAGTGGCACCCTCCTTCTTTCCGATGTCGATATATTGGAGAACGCGGTCGTATTGAGCTTTAGACACTAAGGGGCCCTGGTATGTCGATGTGTCCCACTGGTTGCCCAGTTTGCTCACGGTCTTTGTTGTGTCCAAGAAGCTCTTGATGAACTTGTCGTAAATTCCATCCTGAACAAGAATACGGGAAGTCGCAGTACAAATCTGTCCCTGGTTGGACATGATACCGAAATGAGACCATTTGACGGCTTGGTCCAACTCAGCATCTTCAAACACAAGAAGAGGTGACTTGCCTCCTGTCTCGAGGGTAATGTTCTTTAGCGTTTTTGCCGCATTGCCCATAATATCCACAGCAGTAGCCGTAGAGCCTGTAAATGCAACCTTATCAACGAGAGGGTGCTGAACAAGGGCTGTTCCAGTCTCTCTTCCACCGTTGATAACATTGAAGACACCTGGAGGGAAACCAGCTTCCTTAACAAGCTCAGCCAGAACCAAAGCACTCAGAGGAGTCTGGTCGGCGGGCTTAAGGACGATCGCATTACCACAAGCCAGGGCCGGGCCTAACTTCCAGATGGCCATGCATAGTGGGTAGTTCCAGGGGATGATCTGGGCTACCACACCAATAGGCTGACGGATGGTGTACGCGAACTTTTCGTGGGTAGTGCTGATCGTCTGGCCAAACGACTTGTCTGCCCAGCCAGCGTAGTAGCGTACCACACCAACGGCTTCAACCAGGTCACCCTCGATCGCCTCCTTGTACGACTTTCCTGTCTGCGTATGAGTATGTACACTCGTCGTATCGAAAGAGAATGTGGCATACCGTTATCCCATGCATCAATAGTAGCGAAGAGCTCTCGCTTTTGCTCGATGAGGTCGGCAAGACGTGACATCTTTAGACCACGGTCGGAAGCAGATAGCTTCTTCCAAGAATCATTTTTCATGACCGCCGAGGCCGCTCTGACAGCTTTGTCCACGTCGGTCGTGTCCGCGGCCTCAACCTTGGCAATTTCTTTCTCAGTCCTATTTGGATATCAGCAGTGATGACCGGAGTCTTCTTTCGGCATGGTGGAGCTCACGCAGGGTCAATTGAGACAATACTCTGGCCGCTAGAGTATGCGACAAATTCATTGTTGATGAACAGACCCGTGGGCTGAGTGTACTTCACCCCATTGGGGGCTTGCAAGTCGAGAGATAGGGTCGGAGACATATTGGGCGATTGCGAAAGTAGTCTACGCAGCACATAGAAGTAAAAAAAGAGGCACGAAATGTTCTTTGCAAAAGGCAGCTGACAGTGGCACGAATCTGAGCCTTGGGGGATAAGCTCATTTGTATTGGCTTCGGAAGCTATCTTTGAAGCTTACATAGAAATGGACACTCGGGTAAACTCGATCAAGATCGTGAACGCTTTCTCATTTGAGAGCTCATGTAGTCAGCGAGCTGATCACTTTAAATCGCACTCTTGATCAAAATGACGATTTCTACTATCGTGGGTGCATCGCGTCTCAGTCGCGGGGTTACCCCGCGATTGTGCCCTTCTGTTTCTGGAACTGTTGTATCAACAGCCCTGCATGGGAAGGGAACATGATTCGATATGCAGCTTGATCTTCTCTAGCAAGCTGTTGCAATCGAGCTTAGTAGGCTATCAGGCGTTATCCAAGACTTTTGCCCGGTGGTGTGGGTTTCCGAAAACAATGCCGTGGAAACCTTCCTGATCTGTTGTTGGGAAGACGTTGCTCACAACTCCCCTGCCTCACTACTTTTGGCGCTGCGGGGTTCTCAGGACGCCACCGATTAATCTAGCCCGTGGAGACATGCCTATAACTGAGCAATCTGCTCTTGTCAACTCTGAACTTCGTCACGCCCGATTGACACCATTGTGCAATTTCATCTGCGCGCGGATACGTGGTAGCGCCTGATTCAGCTAAGCATAATTCCATTCGCACTGCGAGGAGTTTGTTCCCTAAGCCCACAAAGTCGGAACCCCTGAAGACTGTCAAAAGATGCCTAAACCAGTCAGATACCGGGCCGAGCACACTCGGACATTTACTGGATGCCGATCTTGCCGGGCCCGTCATGCCAAATGTGACGAGGGCAAACCAGAATGCAATGCCTGCATACGTCTAGGGGTCACCTGCGGTGGCTATACTCCAAGCTTGTCCTGGATCGCAGACGGTGACGCCACCGGAAGATTGGAGCCTCGGGACCCAGAAACATCTGATTACCGCTATGCGCTTTTTTCCGGTACGTCTGGCCAGTTCACTCTTCGTACCTATATGCCGCTGACTCTGATTCGCATTTTCTAGATGCGGAACGTCGTGCAATGTGTGCCAGGCTGTCCAGGAGTCTTGGCTCGAAATCCGCAGGAAGCATTCTGGCCGACTTAGACTCGGCCTCCAAAAGAAGTGACACCAACAGCGATTTTAGTGTTGCTCAAGGCCCGTTCGGAGTATTTCGCATGGATGAGAGTGATATGACTTCAATTGCCAGCCGTTCATCTTCATCTGGGTCAACACATCATACGGCCTCTGACACAGATGACAAGGGAACGGAGGAGTCCATCGGGCTTCCTGGTGATCTCATCGAGTTTAACTGGTCACCACCAGACCAGGATCTAGACTTCCAGTCTATCCTTGACAATATGGACCTTTCCATGGGCCAGGACGATGTCCTTAGCTCTACCGAAGCCTTTACAGGCTCGATCTCTGATCTTTTGGCTGACATCCCAACTGATTTGGAGGCCATTTCGGATTTTTATCTTGCAGAGGAAGGGGTCGTCCCCGAAAAGGACATGTCCACACTTAGGAGGGACACTGATGTTACCAATCAAGCTGCAGTCGGGGACACAGTCCCATCACCTCTTCTGTCAATCAATCTCGACGCAAGGTCAGATATGCCCGAACAAGCCCAGGCGCTATTGCGTTATTACAAGACTCACATAGAGTCCGCACCAACATGCATCCAATCCAGCAGGTGGAAATCACCATGGAAGCTCCTCTTTCTTCCGTGCGCATTCGAGACATTTGCAGAACTGTCTCTTCTCGGCGGCACATCGCATACTCGGTCAGCAATCCTCTGCGCACTTCTGTCTCATAGCGCCTTTCAACTTCACAAGTCTGACTCAAATTCGCAATCGGACTATTGGAATAATCTAGGAGTCAAGCATAGGGACAGAGCCCAGAAACATCTGAGAAGCGCCGTCGAGACTGAGGCAAGCGACTCAGAGCAGACCAAGTATAAAGAATTGTTGATGGCCTTCATAGCAATGGCAATGATATCGGTAAGTAGATGTCAGTGGACTGACTAATTCGAGGTTTACGCTGACCAGCTGGAAAGATCTACCAAGGAAATCGAACCGCAAGAATCTTTCTGCTTGATGCAGAGAGGCTGATCAGGGTCCGAGGCTTGGCAGAGGAGAACCCCGAACTCATTCGCGTACTTCATCACGTGTACACATACCTTCGCGTCATTGCGGAGGGAATATATGCTCTAGATGATGGCTCGATTGATTCCGAACAAGCTGAGACTTTCCCCCAGGTTCCTGAATCTGGTTCATTTCGGATCAGCGAGGATCTGCTAAACATTGGACTCGACCCTGGTGTCGAGAAGAACTCGAAAGTTGGATATGGTGACATCCATCTCCAAGTACAAGGGCGCTGGAAGGAGACTCTGCATTCTCGAATCCATGGCATTCCGGAGTCACTCATGACATTATTATCGCAAACGATATCTCTTGCAAACGAAAAGAACCGTCTGGAGACTCGTGCTAGGTGCGACCCGAAGCTGGCGGCAGACTTGAAACACCACATCAAGACTTTGGAGGAAAGAATCTGGACTTGGTCTTCGTCCTCCGAAGTATCGATGATTCTCACCGGCGACGTGTCATTCTGTACCAAAGGTCCCAACCTTGTTTGCCATCCTCGGAACCAGGCGATGATTTCGGCGATTCATCGAGCATTGATTATCTACTTCTACCGTCAGGTACACGATGTCAGTGCTATGATACTCCAGGACGTTGTACGGCAAGCTATGGAACAACTAGAATCATGCATCTGTGAAATGATCAACAGCGATGACTTTGCTTTGAGTCTTGCGTGGGCGGCATTCATCTGCGCTCGCGAGGCAATCTCGCCGGACCTTCAGGATAGAGCTAGACACATCATTACCATCACAGACGGCCGAGGTGTTTACTTTACGTCGAGACCAGCCATGGAGGTCATCTCATCGCTGTGGGCGAAGCGGCAAGCTATTGGAGGCATTGACCTCGGAGGTAGTGTGCAAGCCTCCGATATTCCATGTTCTGTATAAATAATAATTGGATGTATGATGTGCTTTCTTCAGAACTTTGTCTTGTGAACTATGGTAGCTATAAGCTTGAAAAATCCAGAAATTGATCGTTACAAATATCGTTGATCGAAAACATCGGCGGGGGAAAACAAGCTGGATGCCGAGTTCACGGGAAGGACTCCCTGATTTGATCACATGGTAAGTTATTGTATGAAGAAAAGGTGATGAGGTTTTGTGTGTTCTGCCTATAACTGATGCTTCCTAATACTCATTATTCGACATCAATGCAGACTATTCTAGTTAAAAAGGAACGCCAGCCTTCTTGAGCAGAGCAGCTAGCTCTGCCTTGTGGTTATCTTCCAGGAGAGCAAACGGCTTCCTGACCCCACCCGTCTTCCAACCGCGCACTTCCATGCCCGTCTTAACAGCCGATGAGTAATGGTGTGACTCAAGGAATTTGGTAATGGGCCAAATCTTAGCCCAAACCTCTCGACCCTTTTGAATATCATTTTCAACTGCAAGAGCATTCCAGAGCTCGACAGAGAGCTCGGGAATGATGTTGGTCGCACCCCACACAGATCCGGTAGCTCCGGCCGCCAATCCGTAGAATGTCAGGGTGTCCCAGCCGTTAAAAGTCGTAATGCGATCTCCGGTAGTGAGAAGAAGCTCGGTGAGGGCCGGAGCATTGCCGGAGGTGTCCTTCATGTACTTAACACCAACCTCCGAGAGGCCGGCAATTTCCTCCACCGAAAGGTTGACACCACTGGCAGATGGGATATTGTAGTACACAATAGGGAGACCACTAGCGCTATGGATTTCCTGAAGCAGACCGCGAAGCTGCTGGAGGTTGGGAGGGTCGTAGAAAGGGGGCACAACCATGACGGCCTTAGCGCCAACCTTTGCAGCATGAACTGCGTGGTCGATTGCGCCGGTAGTGGTCAAGTCGCCAGCTCCAGCAATAACAGGAACGCGACCAGCAGCCGCTTTAACACAGACCTCGATGACGGTCTTACGTTCCTGAACCGTAAGGGCGGTAAATTCTCCGGTACTACCCCCTGGGACAAGGCCGTGAACGCCGGCTTCGATTTGTCGGTTCACATGCTCTGCAAGGGCAGTCTCGTCGACGAACCCATCAGGCTTGAAAGGTGTGATGAGGGCAACGAGAATACCCGTGATGTCGTTGTGCTTAGGGGCGAGCATGGTGAATGTTGGGTTCCACGATATAGAGATGAGGGATGTTATGATGGCAATAGACTTGAAGTTTCGAACTCTGTGAGGATGAGGAGGTTGCTGCTTGATTGAACAAAGTGATAAACCTAAGAATGACTGGCTATTATATATGCTGTCCTGTCTATATTCAAAAACAACATTAAATGTTCTCAGAGATCGTGAAGGGAAAAGTTCAACGGGTTCTCTGGTGGAGCGCAATGAAAGCGGATAGAGTCCTCGACGAAATCTACTGGATTCCAAGCACCTCCTCAATGGGAAGGGCAATACCCAGACTGAGCACTTTCCGATCCTTTCCTGCGACAAACATTCAAAACATGGCCAGAACGGTAGTCTCATCTGGCAATGCACAACGAAACTCTTTGGGTGCCCGAACAGGCAAGCCTCCACGTCCGGGGTGTGGACCCGTTTCCCCGCAAAAGCCAGGACATTCACTCCGACATCCCGATGCGCCCGCTTCTTGGAAAGCGCAGTTGCATCGTTATTTGACACATGCGTTTCTCAAAACAACAGCATATCTCATCAAGTACCGGATTGGATATGAAAGACTGTGGGCTATTTCGTTGCACCTTTTGTTGTTTTGGATGCTGCCTGTCAGCACTGGCTGGGAGGACAGAAAGAGGATCTGGGCCTTGTCACACACCGCGCAATGCCAGGTGTATTACGTAGGACCAGAGGAACACCGAGATTCGAATTCATACCACGATGAAAACCATTGGGTTATTCCGTGGCTAAGCCATCAAAGCAGGTGTATAATGAATGATGGAATGATGCTTTACAATAAAACTAATGGAATGAACTACACATTGCCGCAAAATCAGACATTCACAGCTTTGCCAATATCCCGTCCGCCTTCTTGTACACAAGGTGATCTTGAGTGATGTCCTTGACGCTTTTGCAACTGCGGAAACGGTCAGCATCTGTCTTCAGCTTCCCTCATACACGCTTCGACTCACCCGGCCAGCAACATAGCCACCTTGAACTCGTACATGAGAATTTTCAGCGCTAACTCGACGCCCTGCTGGCCGTCGTACTGGAAAATGAACTGTTAGGAACGTTTTCGTACTGCTGTGTGTAAGGTATTTGATGGATCACGAACCGCAAGGCCCCATATGGGGATCCTGCCCACGAAACAGTGCGAGGCACCCAGAGCGAGTGCCTTGAAGATGTCGGTACCTCGGCGAATACCCCCATCCACAGTGATTGGAATCTTTCCTCGCGCCACAGGGGCACACTGTCTTAAAATGTCAATTGAGGCCGGAACTCCATCCAGCTGTCGACCACCGTGGTTAGAGATGACCACGCCATCTAATCCATGCTTAATGACAGCTCGGACGTCATCAGGCCCGTATATTCCTTTGACCCATATTTGCAGCTTCGTGTGCTGGCGCAGCCAAGGGATCAAACTGTCCCAGTCAACCGACGGGTCATAGTCATGCTTGCTAGGCTCCGCGGGCACCTCGTCGCTTTTCCCAATCTGATCGCTGGAGGCACGGAGCTCGCTTTTCCCATCAGAGAGTAGGTTTGGCCAGGACATCTCGTCCGGGAGACTGAAGTTGTTTCGATACTCGTTCAAACGTCGGCCTAAGCAGGGAGTGTCGGCGGAAAGGAAAATCGCCTTGTATCCAGCAGCTGGTGGTCACTGTATTAGCTTGTACGAGTGTCGAACAGAGAAGGACTTTAGATACACACCTTCTGCCCGTTGGAGGATTTGGAGGGTAATCGACCGATCCTTCAAAATGCACAGCTGCATTACGTAGGGATTCCCAGCACCTTGAGAAATAACATCCTCCAGTGATGCGGTTGCATACGATGATAGACCCATACAGATTCCCATCTTTGCTGCAGCTCTCGAAGTTGCAATCTCGCCGTCTGGATGAGCTAGACCATGCATGGCTGCAGGGCTGAAGCCCAAGGGCAACGCTGTTTTGAAACCGAAAATCTCACCGGATATATCGACATTATCGACATTGACAAGGACACGAGGTTGGATCTTGTAGTAGTCATAAGCCTCCTCATTCTCCTTCACACTAGGGATGTTAATATTCATTAGCCAGAAAGCTTCATGTGGAAGGCGTACGTGAGTAGATCCATAGCGCCCTCGTTGAAGTAATCTCACAACTAATGTTAGCAGATGACTGCATAAGCCACACGACAGGATATGCGTACCTCGATACATCTTTGGGAGTCTTCGGCTTCCATGGTCCTTCAGATCTTGAATGCTGTGGACCAAGGTGTCCCAAGAAACTCCTCTATTCGCCATATCGCGCTGAGAGATGTTGCTTTTCGTCAGGTAGAACCACGACAGGCAATGTTGATAGCATTAAGATTCAATCGACAGCTGCAAATGGAAATTTTGAGTTGGAGACTGAGGGTTCAAGTAGTACGTAACTGCGAGCATTCCCCAATCCAACTCAGCCAATGACCGTGCCTACTTTGATCAGCAAAGGCTCCGACACATCAAATTGAAAGACACATGCATGGCCCCGAGCTTCAGACAAGCCCCAGGACGAGTAGTACCCATTGGAACAGAAGCCCTGCAATGAACAGCGCTCCTCAATGAATTACTTCGAAAGAAAGCGGAGCTGGCTGGATTAGGGTCGACTGTTCTGGTCTTAGTGACGGAGTTGCCTCTCGAAGGCCGTCGATACCTGACAAAACAAGATGTTCTCGGCAGAAATCATCAAGCCTCCGGCATCAGATTATCCCGATACAGTCCCATCATCTCTCCTCTGTCACACGCATCTCCTGAAAAGAACCCTGGCGGTATCTGCGCCAAATCATGCATTGCCACGCAGATACCGACGAGGTTGGTCGGGGCCGCTCAAAACGTATTCTGAAATATGTACAAAGCTGAACGCCGGTCCTTCCTACGACTAGAATCTCGGGATGATGAATGCAATGAAACCTGGGGGCGGGGACAAGAACTGGCGAAGTTTGCCCACTTAACGGCTACCCCGGAAAGTTGGTAGATAAGCCCGATGCAGGCGGATGCATGAAGACGTGGAATGTTCCCGCTGCCTGGCGGATTTTACGGGAGATAAACCCCCTAGTCCTAGATAGGCCGCAACGTTCAAAAGAAGTAGGTTATTGAGAGCTATCTTGCGGGGTAAATGCAGGCATCCATGTTCCCCGATACCCATGCTGAACGGGTGTCTCAGAGCTCAGAAGCCTGCCGTTTTCAATAGGTACGGACGGATGATAATTATTTGTGTCAGGTTACATCAGATGTTGGCAACTGGTGGAGGTGATGTTTACTATGAGGTGTCGCAGGAGCTTGACGGCTTTGTATCTAGGCGATCACTGCGATTGACGGCAAGACTCATCCAAAGGGAAATGGGATGCAGGAGAAATGAAAAGTAGCTTGTTTGAAAATCAATTGAAAGTTATGATAACTGCCCATGGTTCCTCATTCTGGCCTCTAAGGGACGTACTTTAACAGACGGGTTTCAGTCCAGCGTCCGCCAAAGACCGGCTGAAGATGATCAAACAGGGCACTTGCGTCTTCTTCTCTAACGCCCTGAATGTCGTCGTAGACGAGAAGCCTCGAGATTACGTCTCTACTCTCACGTGCCAGAGCTTGTGCCTCTTCAGGAGGCTTTCCACCGTTTTGTGCAGTCAGTATTATGGAAAGATGGAATTTTGACCGCGCGACGGCGGCGTCCTTCCTCAGTGCACTGCCTAGTTTCAGCGTGGAATGAATTAGAAACATGATCGGAGCCATTTCGATATAGTTCTTGTGCAATACCGTGAAGTAATAGGTCCCTTCCCTCGCTATCTGTAAGCTCCTCAAGGTTCTGGCGGTAATAGTCAATAGGACGAGAAGGCGCCGTGAGGCCTTGGTGTCTGGTTGTGATTAGGATGCTTCCCATCGTTACAGAAGTCTTCATTGGTACGAAAGGTTCGGCATGATACCACTTATCCACGTTGTCGAGAATCATCAGCCACCGGGCTTTGGTTGACTTCAGAAACTCCCGTCCTAACCTCGTGAGGGTCTCTTGATCCGTTCCAGAGGCCGCCGACGCGAGGCTCATGGCAATCTGATTGAACGTCTCGGAGGCACTAATTAGTGCCTCAGCTTGAACCCAAAAGATGTACTCGAATGACTGCTCGTATTGGTACATGAATCAGACTGTCAGAGCTGTCTTTCCCATCCCACCTTCCGCGCTGAGAACATACACGCAACCCGGCTCGGAGAGGATCTAATACAGGTTCGCAAGATCCTTCTCGCGACCTTTGAAGCTGTCATCCTTGGGGAACATTCTCGTTTCAATGACAGGAAATCTCAAAGTTGGGTCAGTGCCTGAGCGTCCTCTTCCGTTACGTGAGCCGGAATCAAAGATGTGATGGTGATTGGGCGTGACATTCGACCTCGTCAGCTTCTGCACACGCTATTCGCGTGCTGATTCACCGGGTCCAGAAGCTCTGACCGATCCGTGCCCTGACGGCTCATCCTCAGACGCATCACGAAGATCATCCTGATCAGTGATTTCCGGTGGCTGCGGAGTCTGACCAAGATTGACGATTTGTTCATCGGCAAAAGCCTGCAAGAAGCGCACTTTATACCCACGCTCAAACATGTTGTCGCTAGCGCTTTGCGACATGATTTCGTCGTTTTCATCATCTTCGGTCGATTCATCGCCACAAACGAATCTCAAAGCTAGTTGCTCAAGGTGTTCGGCAATGTGTTCCTTGATCTGAGTCGACTCTAGTGGTAATAAAAACGACTCTTGGGTGACACCCACTCAACCAACCAGCCTGCGCTACAGTATTTCATGAACAAAACCAAGCAAGAAATCTGATAGGGCCATGACTCAAGGTTCAGGAACTTGATATGCGGTTACTTGCCCACCCATTGAGACATTGGACGCCACTGGCGCTGGTTTGGCGCACGTAGCTGAGGTGATTCGGTTGGAAACAACTACTGATCTCAGCTGTTACCGCAGTTGAATCTGTGTTCAAGCTTCATCAATCGGGTCTCGAAAGGACACCAAGTATACACAAGTGAGACTTTTCCGTTCTTGCAACATCGAGGAATCAGATTGTAAGTGTTAGAAAGAGGGCTCTATGAACTTCCTTTAGCTTCAAGGAACATTAAGCCCCATTACCGCCATGGACCTCAGCTTCGTCTAAGAAAGAATCCCCTTCTTGGCGATGCAAAGCCTTCTCACTGCGGATGACCTTGAACTCCAGGGGTAAACGACCAACGAAGCCAACCTCGGTGCCAACTACCTCATGTTAGCTCGAGGACTGTGGAACTGCAAGAGAGTTGAACTTACGAAACAAGATGGACACGAGTTCGACCAGCACTGGAACCCATGGCGTGAGAGCAAGTGCCTGCCCTAAACTCCAAGCATCCTCTGACTTCCATGACGCGCCGCTGAAGAACGCGACGAGAATGATCCAAGCGCCCCACATGCAAATGAAGTTGAAGGACGCGTACATAATCATAGCCCCCTTAGCAGCCTTTTTGAGCCAATTTGCCTGCCACATCTTACGATTGTTGCATCTGTAGAAGGATAGGACGACGCTGAGGCACAGCCCAAAGAGCGGGGGCATCCATACCATGGCTGCCATGGTGAACATGGCCGCTGATACAACAGCCTGTGATGGATGGTTTTGGGGGCAAAGACCAATGACGTTGGAGTTGTGGTAATAGTCGACTTGGGCGCTATTTGTGCACAACACCCAAGCTGCGGTGTGGATGACGAACAACCCGACGAGGACGGCGCCCTTAAGCCAACTCCGACGAACAGAGTTGAGGATGAGCGGAAGTATCGTTGCCAACGGATAGAACGCAAAGGCGGACACGATGAGCTGCAAGGAGGAGTTATAACGATAGGCAATTGGAGAGACTTGGCTGTAGATGACAGTAGCCTGGATCCCGAGGGAGAGGAATGCAGCGGCGGTAAAGAGGTCGTATGTTGTACCTCTCAAAGCCTCATTAACGCGACTGACGACGCCAGGCTTGACAGCTTCAGGCGATTCCTGGGTTCCGTTGGGCGAGCTGGCCCTATGCTTTCGGTTGTTGAAATACCGCAGCAGGGCAAATGTGCAGTAGATGGTCAACAATACGGTTTCGAGACCGTAGGAGGCGAGAAGCTGCTACTGTTTAGCATGATCAACATAAGAGGCAAATGTGAAGTGCTCACCCCAAAGCCAGCGAGGCCGCCGTCAATCTCGGAGCCAAAGGCCTGGCACAACTCCGGCCGACATGACGAGATATCTGCCACCTGACGGGCCAGAGTAGTCCTGTTCAAGCGAACCCACTCATGCCAATCGATGATTTGCGCATTGTTTGGCTGCGTTGAATTGACCTCGGGAACAACAGCACGCCAGAAGCTCGCGACAGTGGGAAACGGCGGCTCGTTGTCGTCTGTCGTGACCCAAGCAGCGTAGGCGCCGAACGCGGTGCAGTCTCGGGTAACTTCAAGCTCAGCCCAAGCTGGCCCTCCCCAAGGAACGCTGCCCATTGCTGTCACGGGTAGGCGGGGTGAATGCGATGCTGTTTGTCGATTCTGTGTGTCAGCCGTGGCTGTAAGAGTCCTGAACCACTATTCGTTGTGATGTTCAGAGTCGCAATGTTGACGACATGGCGGCGGAAAAGTGCATCAGCAGAGAAAACTTCAAATACTGGTGCCTTGGTGCGGCCAAGCCCCTGAGAGGATTCAGATCATTTTACATACCGCGCCAGGATCACAATCCCTCCGACAGTGGGAGATAGCGCCCGGAATGGTGTCGCCTGCAGTGCCGAAATGGTAGTGTCTCTCAGACCGTGTTTTGATAGGCTACTGGCACCAGGGACCCTGCCTTCAATTGACTCTATTCCTGATGGGTGTACACCTCGCAGGGGGGTCTACAGACTTCCTAGGGGGCTGTGGCCGTGCAAGCGCCACACACTTATATAAAAAAATGCAAGTTACACAGTGAAATTTAAAAAAGCTCTCTAAATGCCCTAAAGTTTATATAAGGGGAAAATGGATTGATAATTGCGCATATGCTTAGCATATACGCGCCCTTAGGGCCCCTAAGGTAGGGCCCCTAAGGTAGGGCCCCTAAGGTAGGGCCCCTAAGGCAGGGCCCTTAAGGCAGGGCCCCTAAGGTAGGGCTTATAAAGTAGGGCCCCTAAGGTAGGGCCTTTAAAGTAGGGCCTATACTAAGCATATACTAGGTATAACCTCTAAAGCTTAGAGAGTAGGGCCCCTAAAGCCCCTAAGGCTTAGAGGGTATATACTAAGCATATATACTAAAAAGCTTATATATAGAGGGCTATATTAAAGCTAGAGCATATACTAAGTATATACTAGACTTTATACTGTATAGGCCCTTTATATATATATAATAGAGGGCTGAAGTTCCCCTACGCCCCCCTTAGAAGTCTATAGACCCCTAAGCGAGCAGCTAATAAATTTACTTAGATATATATTAACTATATATCCCTAGGTATAGGCAAAAACTCTATACGTGGTTTTCGCAAAGCTTATCGCTCTTATTAAGCAGATTATCTATTTATCTAAGCTACTCCTTAGTAGCTAAGAAGTGCTATTTTAACCCTTATAATCTAATATACCCCCTTAGGGATAATTAGTATAATTATATAGTTATCCCTATAGCTTAATTAAGCGTTTCTAAATAGCTTTAATTACTTCTTATTATTATAGTTTTAATAGTTTTATAAGTTATAAAATAATAGTTTTTTTTATTATAAGTAGTTAAAATAGTAGAATAAAATATTTTCTATTTTACTTAATTAGTTTAAAGTTTCTAATTAGTTATAGTTTTACTAATTACTTTAGCTCTCCTTAAAAATAAGAAAGTAAGTAAATAATTTTTTACTATTTATATTTCTTATTATTTTTCTTTTTTTTTTTCTTTAGTTTTTAAGATTTTATAAATTATATATTATTTTTATATTACTTTTTTACTATTATATTAATATTTACTTTAAATAGATTAAATATTTTATAATATCTTCTTATAATACTTTTAATACTAAATATAAGGTTTATTTTACTACTTCTTATACTAGCTATATATATATACTTAAAACCCCTAAGTACTATTATTTAGCTTACTTCTTCTTTAGCCTCTCTAATAACTTTAAGGAGGATAAGCTAGCTTTTCTTATTAGTTCTAGCTATTAGTTTATACTCCTTTTATAAGTATTTTTTATTATTAATCCTCTTTTTATAACTTCTATTCTTATTTTATTTATTTATTTTTTTAGTTATACTAAGCGTTTTACTACTTAGTTTATTAAGGAGGAGAACTTTAATAATAGTTAAGTTAAAGAGACTTTTATTAAAAAGAAGTATAGCTACCCCTCTAATATCTAACACTAAGCTAAAAAAGAAACTAAAAAGAAGAAGGAGATTAAAGAAGCTAAAGCTCTTACTTTCTTTTTTATTAAATAGAAAAAGAAAGATTATATTACTAAATACCTCACTAAGTATATTACTATTAAAAAGAAGAAATAAGAGAAAGAGGAAACTACTTTTTAAGTTATTTATATTAATATAGAGATTATTATTATTACTACTATTAATAAAGAGGAGGAGGAAGAAGAGAGTAAAGTTATTATAAATACTAATAACCTTTTTAACTCTATAGATTTCTCTTTTAAATTAGAAAATAAGCTTTATTTTAGTTACTCTCTCTCTTTTAATAGAAGCTATTTATATTTTAGCTACTACTTCTCTAATAAGAATATTTATTATTACTATTATATAAAAAGTAGTAGTTATTTTATAAGTATTAAAGAGATTATTACTCTCTATTATAAGCTTTATAAAATAAAAAAGTATACTAAAAGTAGTAAGTCTATTTTAGCTAAAGTATAAATTATCCCCTATTAAATATTTCTATATAGTTATTAATTCTTTTATAGAGAATTAATATTACTTAAAAAGATCTTTAGAATACTACTTATAAAGTTATTATAGCTTATAAAGCTACTAAGAAGTAAAATATTACCCCTCTTAAATATATTTTATATATTTACTACTTTATTTTAGTTTTTATATTTCTTATTATTATATTTCTTTTTAGCTTATTTCTTCTTTATTTAGAGACTTTAGTCTATATTTCTCTTACTTTTTTAAGTATTTTCTCTAGTTCTTACTCTACTTTAAGTTATACTTAAAATACTATTATAGCTACTTATTATAACCTTAATTATACTCTCCTCTATACTTCTAAATCTAGCTATATTAATTTTAAGGAGTTTTATAACTAGTTTAACGCTTTTAAATTAGCTATCTCTCTAGCTACTTCTTATAAAACTATTCTTTTTATTCTTACTCCTAAAAGTATTTAAATATTTTTATTTTATAGTTTCTTAGTATTTTAAAAGTTTTAGCTTAAAATAGTTCTACTTTTAAGCTATAAGTTTATAGATATTTAGTCTCTTTAGTAGTTTTCTACTTTAAATAGAAGTTTTTTTATACTTTCTACTCTTTATCTCTATAACTCTCTATACTTATTATATAAAGTTATTTTAAATATTTTCTTTTTTTATTTCTTTCTTCTAGCTCTTTTTATCTCTTTTAAGCTTAGAAGTATAGTTTCTTTTAAGGGTTTCTTTTTAATTAGCTATTCCTAGCTA